CGGTGCTTTCCTTTAAAGAACTAGTCTTTTTAATCACTTAAGTATCTCTAGTAATATCTGCCATGCTGATAGCCTAAACCATGCCCTGCTTACCGCCGAGGCCTGCTACGTCTGTTTCTCGGGTCTCAGAGAGATGTAATTGTAAAACTAAATCCTATATTTCCAGTAATCAAAAGTTATTGAATAATAATTATTAATCATATGTACTGAATCTGATAAAATTTTTTAATTATTTCCTTTTGTATCTGCAAAATACTAATATCGAAAAAGTGGAAAATTTACTAATATCGAAAAGTGAAAAAAATTTTGTTTGTCCTATAAAAACTAGAAAAGTAAGGGTCGTGAAGTTTTGAAAGAATGTTGCTTCTAGGTCTCGAGACTTAAAGTTGCCTTCGGGGCTTGCTAGAAAATTGTAGTTACTTATACATATTTTTAACATAGTTATGCTTAATTTCAATAATCCTTGTGACTGCTCTTAAAACTGGTGTTTTAAGATTAGATAAATTCTGTGTTTTTAATTAGCGTAAATATATTTAATTTGCAAACATATTTAGTAATATCAATATACACTCGATTACAGAATGCGCAGAAAATTGTGAATTGTGTATCAAAAATTACATTACCGTTTGCGAAAGTATCATCAGTTGATACTAGTAGCATACACTGGTGTCGGATTAATTAACTTGATGTAATATAGTTACACTGCTATCCATTATAGGAACTTAATCAGTGATCACTTGGAAAACTTTATCTGCGGAAAGTTTTTTGAATTTCTGAGTGTTTCCAGAATTTTACCATCCAGTCTTTATAAACGGAGTACTTTCAGATAAATCTTCATCACCGTCTGTTTTCATCTACTTCATTTTGATATGAATATTATAAAGGTAGCAATCATTATACAGGTAGCATCATTGAATATCATACAGGTAACATCACTTTCCTTTTCATTTGAATTGTATATAGGTAGCAATATTCTTCTCCCCTTCTCAATCGGGTTCAATTATTTAATTTTCTAGATCATGTCACGTATCAAAGTCATTTCTTAACCATCATATTCTTCACAAATTTTACATGTCAAAGCAGGACCTCCTCCATTTTACAGTCATTACATTTTAACGGAGATTAGTATACTACAGACGTTGCTGTTCTCAACCAAGGTCAATAAGCGGAGTGACGTCGACGTCCTTGACTTGTAAGTCTGAGCAGATATAAAATATACGTCACTAACTCGAGCGTCGAAGAGACAAAGGTTTGAACTTAAAAGAATATAATCTTACCTTCTGATAACAGCTATTATAAATTTATAGTGTCGCGTCACCTCCCACGAGATGACTACAGCTACTGTAAAATTATAGTGTCACGTCAGAGGTGATATACGAGATATAATTTATAAAAGTTTGTCTTATAAGGTATTTCTCCCGCCTTCTTAGTATGCTTTCGTAGTGTAGTGGTCAGCACACTCGGCGCGTATTCGAGAGGCCGTGCGTGGTTCGAGTCGCGGCGAAGGCGTTGCTCATTTTTCATCTCTCATGCTTCCAAAAAATCCTAATGTCACTATAGTGGCGTCTGAACTAAAAGGTGGTGAATGATGATTCTTCACCACTAGAATTTGGCGATTAGGTCTCCTAAAAACCCCAGTTGCATTTTAAAAAGAGGAGTATAGGTATAGGTATAGGTAACGGGGGGCACGGGCACTGTCACTTTACCATAATGGTTAATCGGTATTGCACCGTGCCCACCACTGTCTAGAGCCAATGTGTAGGAGCCACATTTGCGCCCAGCACCAAAAGCCGAGGCCCAACGCTCGGACCATCCAGAGGGCAGTCAAACTGACCAAAAGCGCCCTCCACACAACGCTCACCCAACCGTCCAGGCATTAGTACATATGATAGCAAATACTGAGATTCTCTGACGATTATAACACAATGTGCAATTGGTACATAATGAAATTGAAATTATAAATATACTGCATAATACAAGTCCAATAGTACAATATCAATGTAAAAAGTAAGATATAATTACAAATGCAAATATAAGGTATTTCTCCTGCCTTCGTAGTGTAGTGGTCAGCATGCTCGGGGCGTATTCGAAAAGCCCGTGGGTCGAGTCCCGGAGAAGGCGTTGCTTATTTTTCATCTTTCATGCTTCCAAGAAATCCTAATGTCTCTACTGTCTTTCCAAAAGAGTTATTGGCTTTTCTCACGGGAAAATTGTTTGCTCACCAGTCGTTTAGCGGATAAAACCGCAGAACATAGGTAATTTGCCCCCAAATATTATCCTGAGGATGAATGGGCTCGCAGTGTGGGGTTTTTCGTGGGTTTGGCTCTATGTAATTTAAATATGGACCTGTGTCCTTTAGAGAATCCTCCATTATCTTTGGAAGAAAGCCTTAGTGTGCTTTATCAGAAATAAATAAATAACATAGTTGTTGGCTCGCTCTGAACAATTTTCACGCAATTATTTAGGGGTGTTTTCTCTATCAATAAATCCTAAGAGATAGAAAGTGCCATGTCAAACATTAATAAGATATCTAATATCCGTGATTCATTCCTCAAAACTTCCAAGAACTGATAGCAGAAATTAATGTGGTGGATTTTATGATTGAAAAGTGATTTAAATCTTAGAAGGCTGGAAATACATATGCTTGCAAAGAATTTTCTTTCTAGTTATGGTAACATTTTTAATTCTGCTTATATGCTGTTCGGTTGAGCGAGTCGGATTTCTCTGTCACAGCACTCTCTCGTGCAGTGTTTTTAGCTATGCATGCGAAACGCCATGGACTAATGAATATATTCATTGCACTTTCATGCTCAGTAAAATCCTTTATCCATTTTAAATTTGTATTGCGGATAGGACTTCCGCTGTGACTCAGTATAAAAAACTTACACCGAAAATGTCTTTGCTCCTCAAAAGAAACACTCATTGGAAGCATATACTAGTTCAGCGACAGTTTCTCTATGGCGACCACAGCCAAATTAATGTCCTATCCTTGGGCCCCTGATTTTAAGAGACTCCCAAATCATTCTATGTTTTCTTCTCATAAAAACAAGAAAAGTGAGTTTGAGAACTATGAAAGATTACTGTGCTTATAACAGCAAATTCAAGTTATCGGGCCTTGAAAGCGATTATACATCATATGAGTCCTTCTTAATGTCATTCAAATACAGCATTCTTACAATGCTATCTTTAAGAAAAATCGTCAAATCCTCATGCCCTATCCGTCATAGGGAATGCTTCATAATAATTCCATTCTTCCTGCATCGATCTTAAAATTAAAAACTTTCCTTGAATTAATAATGTACAAGAGATCTAACACAAAACAATGAAACAAATTTTAACATCACTGAAATGTTTATGTATTATGCAAATTTCGTATTTGTTAATTTTATAATGAATTTGTTTTATTGTAAAATATTAACATAACTGAGTTTTTTTAGTTCATTCACCCGATGGATGACACTATCAGTGACTATGAAACGTTCTGTCTTTGACCAATGAAACAAATTGTAACATCACTGAAATGTTTATGCGTTAGGCAAATTTTGTATTTGTTAATCTTACTGTGTAAAACTGGGAAAATATAGAGTGATATAAACGGCTATAACTATTTAATTGAAACGAATTTATGGGTAAGAGTTCTACCAAAGCATGTAGAAGTAAGTTCAAAATTTTGTTTCCATACTTTATAACCATTTTATGTGACTCTTCTTGGTCATATTTTATAGATGTTCTATGTGACCCCTCTAATCGGTAGTCTGTTTCACGCCATACATTCTGGAGTCACACTGGACTTAACACCCTGCGATTTCTTTCTATGGGTTTATGTGAAAGACTATGTGTATCTTCCTTAGCAGAAAACAATTCCAGAACTCAAAATGCGCATTTCTAATGCGCTTGCAATGGTGACTCCATATATGCTTAAGAAAGTATGGCGTGAAATGGGTCTCCGCTTAAATGTTTTCCTCATTAACAAAGGGAGTCACATAAAACATTTATAAAGTATATAAACAAAATTTTTAACTTCTTTCTACGTTCTATTTAATAATATTTAATATTTAATTAATTTAATATTTAATAATATCTCTTTTCAATTAAATAGTTATAGCTGTTTGTAATCTCTATACTCGTTTTGAATGCTTTTAATACAGAATGAAAGCATATGTCGCTTTACTGTATTAAAAGCATCGCTTTCAATTTAATTTTAAATTTCAAGGATTAAATTGAATTTATTTTTAATTTTATTTTAATTTTAATTAAATTTTTTATTTTTTATTTAAATTTAATTTTATTCATTTATTTAAAATTGAAGGGTAAGATCAAAAAATCCTTTTTATGGTTCATAAGTAAATCATAAATTTCATTTTCTATCTGTAATAGCGTCCTTAAAAGTGATGGACACTAGAAAATTGAAATCGAAGATTGTTGGTAACGTAAAATACTTAAATGTTACAAGACAGAACACAAGTGATGTTTTAAAATTATAAAATGTCCAAAAAGGAGCATATTTGTCTCATGCTTCGGTAAATTTTCAATATTCAGAAGACAGGTGAGGTTATCACCTATCTTGCTTATAGAAAATGAAACACATTATGAATCAAAACATCAGTATACTTAAATGTTTTAGTCCTATTGAATAGTTGTCCCTGTGGAACAAAGAAAATGCGATGTTTTTAAGAAATAAGCTTTTTTTTAAACAAATACGAAACAGGAAGCTACCTTTTCTTACTAGTTACTTCAAGCACTAACCTTGTCCAAGGAGTCAATACTTGTGTACCTTTTATATTGTTCGTCACTGCTTTCTATTTGTCTTTTATGAAAAGTTTCTTCAAAGTTTCTTTATAAAAAATAAGAAAAAATCAATATGCATGCATTTTTTTACCAAAATCATATTCCTTAAAAATTTCCGTTAGTTCTGATTAAAACAAATAATCTTTGTTCTTCTTTTTTTATACAAATATATTTTTGCCAAACTTGTTAGTGATGAATATTTCTCTTTTCAGGCAGCGAAACGACGGGAGAAAGTGTTGACCTATAATTTATCTGCTTATTAGCTCTTTCGCCAAATCTCACCGACCACAGCCATCAGTCACCGAGGACTCGAAAATGAACTCTGTGAAAGTGGATATCCATTTTATTTCAGTTTCCAGTCGCTTGCTGAATATCCCTCAGTATCCCGCTGTTTTACAGTCAATAAATGGGTGATTCTCATTCAGCGGGACGAGTACCCCCACAGTGATGAACTGATTTTGGATGTTTAAAGGCTGAGGCTGTTCGAGTCACTTTCGGGCTTTGTAGAGATTGGTAGATTTATCAAGTAATATACAGCGATAAAACTGTGCTCACTTCGATTTTCTAAATAGCATGTTCAGCACAAACTCAACAATCCAAATATAGATATATTTTCAAAGATTTATATTCTTCTAGAAAATGCAACTTGCAGTAAAGTTAATAAATTAGGCGGCTTAAATAGACAGCAAGGTTGAATAGGATAGGTGACGCTTCTTTAAAAATCTGTTTATTGAAAACGAGATCTAGCATGGTTACTGAACATATTTTATCACTTGAACGCGAAAATACGGATTACCTCTAATCATTTTGCTAAGTATTGGCCGAAACAAAAATATTATTGTCTATATGAAGCCAACTTTTATATAGCAGTGAACGATTGGCAATAATAGTACATGTTCTTCAATAAAACTTTGTCAAAGAAGTGACCATGATATAATGCATAATAAAAATAAGAATTACATTTAATCTTCTTCATTCATGATTATAAGCAACAGATCTCCAAAGATCTATCAGCTGATTACTGAATAGTTTTCTAATAAAAGCACGGAAGATATTGCAACAGAACTGTAAGGGATTATTTGTAAATCTGCTAACTTCTTGAGAAATGTCATAAAACAGTATCCGGTAAATTATTTGAGGGCTAAGACTTTCAAGCAACTTTTTTGTTCTGAAACAGACCAGTTTGCTTTTTACATGCCTAAATTAAGATACTGGACCAGGGATTAGAATATATTTCTTCCGGGAGTATTCTATGCATCGGCGTTCACGCGCCGCTCTTTTCACAATTAAAAAGAAAATCATTCCTAAATCTATAACTTTTCAACCATTAAAACTGTATATATGTGTTCAAAAAATTGTATCATAATATAGTTAAAATTATATATATGCATACATCTTTTCACCTAATTTATTGAAAAGAATATGGTGAAGAAATGGACTTGCATACGAAGTAAAAATGCATTTTCCAGCTGCAACTTATAAAAATGCCTTCCCAACGTTTTGAGAATTGAATCTAAGTCTTCAAACATTGGAAATTTAATGTTAAAAACTCTCAAAAATTTCTTCCAGAAAAACAATTTATTCATAATTATCATACAACCCTCAAATTTGGATACGAAATAGTAAGAATGGGAAGAAACCGTTTTTCTTCTGGATGTGCCAATACTTAATTTTGTTAGAATATAACAGATGGGTATCCTTACAGAGGAAATAATATCTTCGCGCTGCATACTATAAAGTCTAGTTTTTGGATTGCAGGACAGATTCCAGTGAACATGATTTTGTGTTTTGCCATTTAAAAAAAATGCAAGATACTAATAATACATAAAAATTTAAACAAAGGGAGAGATAATACCTTATACAAATACTCTCACAATTTATTTGGCTTCACTTAGTCTAAAAACACAACACATTTACCGAATATGCTTTTGAATGAAATCTATATTAACATTTTTTCCCGTTAGTTCCTTTCTTTTCGAAATGAAATTCTTAATCATTTAAGTTACTTTTATAAATTTAAATCATTTAGAATGAAAAATAATTCTGTCTAAAAACATAATGTTTTAATTAAAATCTTTAGGGTCAAAAACCTAAAGACGTCTACAGACATAGAAATGCATTTCCATTCAGAGTTGTAATATTCATCGTTTTACTGTCCCTCACACCACGCAAAAAACAAAAACCTACATAATTTTTTTCTGAAAATATAAATTATAGAAAAATGAAATGTGTATAATTGGGGTACTTGTCCTGATAGGCTTGAGAAACACTTAATTCTTTTTATTTCTTTACTAATTTAGTTCTGGAGGTGGAAATGTAAGCATTGAGCATCAATTCTCTTGGATGCTATAGCTTATAAGTTACATGTTTTTTGTTAAAAATTTCTGAAAATGGGCACTTTTATTTATTACAACGTAAATGTTCATAATTATTGCATTTATTTATGAATCATATGTAGTAAGTGCTCTATTTCGTATACGATATCACTAAAATATTTCATTGTTCAAAACATCTAGAAACGAAAGAATTTTTTATTATTGCATTAAACATACAATAATATTTTACTTGCTATTGTTATTGAATTTAAGAAAGAAACATTTTACATGAGTCCTGTCAATTTATTTGTTTGTTTGCATATTATTACAGTTACATGTTCCTTTATTTTCATAAATATGCAAATCGCAGCTTCATGATCTGTAAGCCTATAACAGATTGAAATCTGTAGCTTGTAATGGTAGATTTTTAAGATTTTCAAGGGAAACGAAATAAGAATTTCATTCATTAGTTTGAAAAGTAGCAACAAGCGATGAATATTCATGGAAGTTATTTTAGTTACATTATTTATATCGAATTGTAATTGCTACTTTTTTGGCATTTGAATATCTTCAATGAAGATGACCCATCCTGCATTAATTTGATGTTAAAAATTTTAGACCAAGCGGTTTCCAGTTAATATGTTAAATGTTTTGTTACCACTCCACAGTTATGATCGAAATCTTAAATTATAATATTCATTTTTTTCAAGCTTTTGTCAGCTTGCGTTAAATCATTAGCGAAAACTTTTAATTTTGTTCAGCTAAAAAAACAGGTAAGGAGAATAAAAGTGTGAAAACGATAAAATGAGAAAAACAATTCGAAAAAGATTTTCACACTTTTTACTAGCTTATCCCAATCAGTAAGAATAAAAAATGCCTCAAATTATCTTCGTTATTGGATCCTAAATTTGCGTATTAAAAATAATAATAATAAATGTCTTTAAATTGAAGCTTTGGGAAAGAGACGGTAGCATTAATTTAATTAGTAAATACAGCTAACAAATAAATCGTGATCAAAACGCAAAACTTATGTGTTTGCTCTCTCAATGCACTCAAATGCTAAAACTTACCCACCTCCAGATTTGAGTAGCTATGTGTATATAATGTAAATATGCTTAAAAATATTTCATTTTCTGGTGTAGAAAAAAAATGCAGGATAAGAAAATGAAAATATTCTTCTGTGCTTGAAAATCGTTCCTAATTGTGTATGTTGTGAATTATTTGTTAACCTGAGCATTACTGTACCTGTCTGTACCCTGCTGGCTTCTTTATTGAGTTTTGGAGACGTAGAAACATTTAACTGATTAAAGTTTGGGAGCAAACAATAAATTTCGTCCCATTCATTTCAGAGTTCATTAATTTATTTATCTTTTTTGTGCTGGAATTCTTTTTAATTGCAACTCGCGTTTTTATATACCTTTAGCATAAAATATAATTTATACAAAAACTTTAAAATGCTAAGTAGTATAAGCAGAATTTGTTTTAATAGACTGATCTGTTTATAGCATGTTATTCGAAGATTAAACAAATTTTGGCCAATCTTTAGAAAATATTTAGAATCACTTGCCAAACTATCTCCAAATGGTCAGCAACTGTACGTAAAACGATAACCCACATTTCAACATTTTCGTTTATCGGCATTTACTGCTGCACTTTATTACTGAGATATGTTTAAATTTTATTCGGTTGTTCATATGCAGTCTTTGTTTGATTATTTTTTAGAACTCTACTTCCAAGTATGATGATTGGCCAATCGTAGAACTGAAATAATTTTTAAAATCTGAGTCATTTTTTTCAATAGTTATTCAATTTTTTTCAATACGTTTTTAAATTGTCTTTTATTTGATATGAATATAAATGCATAGAATATTTTATTATATATAAATTAAATTACAAAACAAAAACTCTATACTCATGTATATTAAATAAAAGTATTCTACACAGACGCGTCGTTGCTTAAACAACACCTGTATTGAAGGAAACCAATTATATTCTTTATAACTGCTGGAAAATGGAGAAATTCGATTGCAGTTTGTCGATTGCATTAAAACTTGCGACAACAGCCCACCCCTTCACACACACACATCTTTAACGTAAGTACGATAAATAGCGTTGAATATTCTCTGTTTTGAAAACTTGACTACTTCCCGCTATACGCGTTGTCATGGTTTCAGCAATATGTTTTTGATCATAGCTCTAAAATATACCCTTTCGTTCAGCAATTTTGCGATGGTAATGCCAAACAAAAAATGCAATAAGGGTTATTATCTTCTAAAATTTGACCCAAACTTTGTTTAAAGTGAATTTGATAAGTGTTGAAAATTGTTAATAAATGAGCGCTAAAACGTAAATGGTATAAATTTCTTGTTTCTCCTAGGATTGTTATCTGAGTTACAAAATCACAAGATTTTTTTTGTCTTAGATTGTCAAAGAAATTGTTGCTTTTATGACGTTAGTTGGCTTACATTAAACGTGACCCTCGATTTTTTTTTCATTTTATTAAAAAGTTATTTTCAGTTCAGCGTCTAAAAAGGGGACAGAAGGAAAAAAAAGGCTTGACTTAAAATATACAAAACACTTGTTTCAGTTTCCATACTATATTCTTTTGCGAAAATTGAGAAATATTATTGAAAAGTAAACTCGAGATTAAAAATTTTTGTCACAATTTCGAAACGGAATTTTTATTTGCAAAATTTGTTAAACAAACGACATCGTAGTTCGTGAAGGCATTTTTCAACTTAAATATAACCTTCTTTGCAGATTTACTAGGGATTCTAGTGCTCTTCGATTCAGAGTTTTAATTTTCTATTTAGTTGTGCTATATGTAGTTCTTTTTCAAAGCGAAAAGGCTGTTAATTCGAAAAGAAGAGATTGTCATCATTAAAGCAAAAAATAGAAACATCAATAAAATTGAGAATGATGACAATATAAATATTTTGATAGTAAGCATATGTAGGTGAAGCATGCAATCGAGTTTGAAAAAACTCGTCTAGATAAGGATAATAAAATGATATTAACTATCATGAATGACCCAGAGAAGATAGTATTCTTACAAGTTTATCGGGAATTGTAGCTATTCGAAAGAAGCCCTTTTTCATGACTGCTTGGATGATTGTTGATATCTGCATACATGTAAAAATACTTTTGTGAGTCTGATCGTGCTCCAGTTGCTGAATCACTTATGATATGCATATAAAATCTAAATTGAAAGAATCTAGATCGAAATCTACTTATAGTTATTCTAAAAAATATCATTCTTGTTCGCAAATTAATGTGTGTAAAATTATTAGAACATTGTAAGTTATACGGGTAAGCGCGAAGTAGAAAGATTGCATAAAAGTAGCAACAGAAAATTTTGCTTACGCCCGAAAGTTTTTCGCAGGTGATTGACTATATCTTAGCGTGAAAGAAAGAAAGTAATCCAGGTTGGTCTAGTTAGGTAACATTTTGAAGTATAAAAATGAGTCCAGACAACTATCATTTTGCCAATGCTATTTTAGTGCATGAAGCGCACTGCCAAAATGGAATGCGCTAGTTATTGTACTAAAGTTTGAATTCCAGTATTTAGATCAAGGTGAACTTTCTGAACACAAGTGTAAATAACTTCAGAATTAATCTGTAATCTGTGATACTGTTGGCGACTTTTGTACACGTTTTCAAATACGGTGAGAATGCCTAATAAATTTAAGTATATTTAAGGAGGTTCCAAGTTATGTTTATACAGTGTATTTTTAAAGTTTGCTTGCAGTGAGTTGCCACATATTTTTCCCAAAACCAATATTCATATCATAAATTAAGGATTAAACGGTTTCAGTTTCAATAAGGACCGAACTGGTTTTTGTACGCTGTGCTATGACGATGCTGATGTAAAATATTATTTTCAAATTAATAAATAAATAATTAACTGTATTATTCCAGAAATTTTCTTAATAAACTGGCGGATGGTATACTTTGGCAAACACTTGTGAGGGATGAATTAGATAACACTAATATATCATTCATGGCTTAAAAATGATAAAAAATGAATAGTAATATACAATAATAATGTTTGTTTTTAGGATGACTATCAACTGGGTATATATTCTTTTGATGTAACAACAAATATTCTTTCTGTTACTGTGTTTTCTGTTTTGTTATTTTTATAATGAACGTTATAAAGTTTGCTATTCTATTTAAATTTAGTAAACATGTATTTCCTTTTCGCGTATTATTCGTAAAAGTTCCGTTTACCAGTCCAAGAAAAATCTGCATATATGTGCAAGCTATTAAAGTGTTATTCGTAACAATATATTTGAAATGAAGGCAGAAGTTTATAACAGTAATTTCTAATTTTTACGCAACTACACTAGTGTTCTATAAAGTTCTAACTAGCGCATTGCTATATAATTTATAGAAATTCTATGATGAATATCAAGTATTACGTTTGCCGAATTTTTCGATGTGCAGAATAAATTTTTTAATGTATGGCTAATAAACATCAATCAAGGAAGAATCATAAGATTTAAATTCATCACATCACACTGCCTTTTTTTGCATAACCTTTTCCATTTGGGCATTGCTTGTGCCCATATGTTATCTTTGACGTAGAAAGTAGTAAAGTTTCAAAAACTAGATTTTAGAAAAATAAGGAATTGTAGCAATGGTTGGGACTAAGTATCAACACCCTATTTATCTTTGTATAGTAATTCATGCATACATATAAATATTTATGAATGTATAATATATATAGGTAATTTTTAATATCATCAACTTACTTAATCTTGCTTATAGACTAAATATGCGCTAAAGTATTTTGTATAGATTATGAAATTCTCATATCGCGCTAAAATTCAAAACGCGAAAGGTCTCACGACAATCATCTTATTTATATTAATTTTTATTAATATGAATTACAACGTACTGTACATCATTATTAATAAAAATATTTTAGTAGAAAATTTTATTTGACTGGCATTTGCATTACACAAACCCTAACAGTTACTTTATGAAATACATCAAAATAATAAAGAATTATAATTTGTTAAACCTATAAACCTGAATATTCTAGAAATATATCTTCGTTTTTGAAAATATCAATAGATATAAGCATTTCAAGTAACAATCGCAACCGTACATACGATAGCAAAAGAAACTCAATCAACACTATGTGTTCTCCGGTTTATGTGTTTCAAAAACTGTCAATTGTAACTGTTTCGTAGTTTTTGTTTACGATCCACGGCAGAGTGCGTCCCCAAAATATTTTCAGATATCATTTAAATAGCATGGTGTTACTAAGTGTAATACATTTATTTCTTTTTGTAGTATACCACCAAAAATAGGATAAATTTACTTTTTATAAAATTTAAGTAAGATTATTAAGCTTAAATGAAAAATCAACTAATCGAATAAAAGTATAAAATTTCCGATGATTTCTCTTAAGTTTGACGCTGACCTTATTTTAATTTAGTAATTAAATGCATAATATTATTTTAATTTTAGTAATTAAATTTAAGAATAAAAATCAGCGAAAAACTTCTGAGTAATTGATCTTGTTCGAATGCTATGTTCATGTAATATCAAAATAAATAGAACAAAATGGGATAAAATATTGAAAATATGATTTTATAAAGATGGATAATAAACAGACTATTTTGTTATTAAGTTTACTACTGCTTTCTGCCTTGGTTGACATTTCTTATAGAATCGTTAATATTTTAATCTCATGTTACTATATGGTACCCTCATTCAGAAAAATGTCTATATAAAGACTATTTTTGTTTATATTTTTAAACTCAATTTTTTTCTTCGAAGATATCTATACTATCTGTATCTATGAGATACAACAAAAAACGACTATATTTTATTTTGCGTTATATTTTATTACTTGCTTAATATGATGCAAATTAGAAATATTACTTTTAATTAAAAAAGCGAAGTTTTTCTACTAAGAGCAAATATAATATGAAAATACGGAGAAACCGCTGTGCCGGTTTAAGGTATTTATTACTGTTTTATTTACTTCAGCATAAAACATGTGTTTGACGTAAATTATTACTTTTTGATTTGCGATCAGTTCTGTTAAAGTCTATATGGACCAGATGTTGTTCCAATAACTTTTACAAACCATTCAGAACAACTTAGACAAGTTGTATCAAGGTTACTGACAATGTGTGTCTCTGAAAGGCAAACGTACTTTTTTCTAAACGACTAGTTCGTAAGTTTTACATTTCATATTCCATATTTGAACGATTTAAAAATATATGTAATTAAACAAATGATTATTAATAAGATTCAAATTCTTATCAATGATTTATTTTTCCAGAGTAAGGGTTGCTGCAGCGAGCTAGCCATCTAGTCAGTTAAAACAAAACACGATTATTGTTAGGCTGTTAGTGTGTCAAAATACGTGCCGTATTAAGCACACCACACACATACAAAGCAGGATGTTATCTTTAATTCTGCGAACCATGACGAAATTTCAACGTACGTAAATAAACTATCTGAAAAACAAAATTAGGATAGGTAAAGGCAAGAATTAACACAGGAATTTCTATATGCTAGGATGTTCAACTTTTCAAAAAATAAAATTTTTGGAAACTTTTTCCAAAACAATTTTTTGGAATATTTGCTTTACATATTTAAATTATATTCATCGCTTTACAGTCTTATAGAGTATTATTCGAGCGCTCTTATAATTTAAAGTAATTATTTTTTGTAATTCCGCAATACCATATTTTCTCGTGGACCTTTCCCCTCCTTTTTTACTAATTTTATGGTCTGAAAATCGAGAAAGGAAAATTATGCGAACAATTTAATTTCCAAAGGATATGATTGCAGTTAGATAACAAATGAAAAGTAGTCATGGATAAATTACAGGCTACTATTAGAATATTATTTCTTTAAAAGAAACCGACATTGCTATAAAAATACATCGTAATGTTAGCATTACAATATATAATAAGCTATCTTCATTTGTGCTTTCCTGTAACTTGAATCTCGCCCGATGTTATTGTTTTCTTTGCTACTCCTTAAGTCTCGGATCATTTATAAATTATAAAAGAAGGTGAATATATAGCTGACTCAAAGAAATCATAAACTCAATGACAGTTCGTATTTCCTTCGCTGTGATGTTTCAATTCACGTATTAGGCTGGCACAAAATTCAACATTAGAAAAGAAAGTTTCAGCGTGACCTTCTCAGGTAGTTTGCAAAGGTTTACTTCTTTTAGTAACACAAAAACAGTTACTACGCGGACGAACCCATTTTAAAATTTAGGGAAATCATTTTTTGAAACACTGACAAAAGAAAATGTACGCGAATATTTCTAAAATTTTCAGAAACTAGCTCTAAAATGCTAGGAGGGGGGAAAACTCGAGGAATACGGTTATTTCATTTATATTTAGTTTTCTCGTAGATTATGTATGTCTCTTACTCTAACCTTTTTAATTTACATGTCAAAAAATTATCACTCGAACACATTAAACTGAGCTTTTAAAATGTAAGACTTTTGAATAAAACGTAAACACACTGCGATTAAAAAGCCCTTTTTCTGAGTTCTAGAGAGATAAACATGTTCACTGACGTTGAGTTCAAGCTAAAGATTGCAATTAATCTCGCTTTGAGAAAACAACTCAAAGAGATGAGTTCGAGGAAATTTTTTTTTCCTGATCGAGCTTCTAGAAGATACTCAATAGAATCCCGCTTAAAAATATATTAACACTCAAAACAAACTCTTACAACTCACAGACAACATTAACATAAAATTAAAATGCTGAACTTTCCAAACACTGCAATTATTGCCAGTTATTTAATATATCGAGCTTAACACTGTTTAAAAGTCTAAATTACAATTCACCTGAACTTAGTACTGTCCATTGCTGCATTTTAATATAAAATTAGCACTTTTTGAAAGAATTCAAATCAAATCAAAATTTATTTCTTCACTTCAAATTTTGTTACTTTCTCTTTTATCCTGGAAAAAAATCCATTCTAATTTGAAAGAACATAAAATTTTCTAAAAAGATACAAATAAGTATCAGATAATCCTTCAATTAAAAGAAGAAACGAAAATAATACGAGACGTAATTTAAATAACATTTTTAACCATATAAAAAATATTTTAATTTACTTTCACATGTAATGTTGCTCAAATGTGTAATAATAGTTTCTAACAGTACTAGTAACCTGTGTTAATATATTAACTAATGTTAAGTTGTGTTAAATCCTATGTTTATCATGAGAGCTTATAATTTTCTTTTTATAAAATATTAGTTATCAAAGTATTAATTATTGATATTTATTACTAGAGTAAAAATTATATCATTATTGCCTTATTGAAACGATACTTCATTGTGTATATAAAATATTTATATATACATATATTAATTTTTATTGAACATTCTTTTTCCATTTATAAAAAAGTCGGTTTATTAATTGTAAGAGTGTGTCAAAACTTAGTATTTTACCTTTATTTCTAACTGATCAAAATACGAGAGCAATTGTATGCATGTTGTGACATGTACGTACAATGTTTGTTGGCAAATCCTTTCTGTTGTCCAAAAACACTAAGTTTTGCCGGCATTTTTATCAGCATGCTGTGTGTGTATCTCAAGTTAATGCTACCACTGAGCATCAAAAAGTTTTCGATTGTTCTTTGGTGTGAGTTGTAGTGATGATTGAGCTTTCTAAGACACAGTAAATAAAAAGTCATTCCAATAAAAATAGTCTGTCTTTCTTTCTCTTTTTTTTCTTTCATTTTTTAAAAATATATGTACTGTTTGCCACAGTATTGTTGTTAATTATATTTACATTGTTAGAAATATAATTGAGAATTGACATTTTGATTTAAAACCAAGAACAATTTAAATATATTTTCCTCCTTCTCATCATATTAAAAGCTTTAGGTCAGAGTCTTCCAGATAGAATTGAAATCAGCGGCGATAAATCTTGTTAGATGTAAAGATTGTTGCCATTTCTGAAGATGTAAGAAATCTTAGCATTTATTAGAGAATCGTAGCTCTACCCAAATTCTCATAGTATGATTAGGGAGATTCAGGTAAGTGTACTGCTTTTATTCTAGCCGAGGACAGAAGAGAAAATACCCCTTCGACGAGGGTATTACTTACTAGATTTATTAGTGAAATAGACGTAGATATTGGAAAAAGTACACTTAACGGCTAATTTGTATATTTATGAATCGCGTTGCAACTCTTCAGAGATTAGAGACAACCCGGATTCTGTTCACTTTACTACCATAAATGCTAAAAAAAAAATAATAAATAAATAAATAAATAAATAAATAAAATAAAAAAAGTTTTGGGCAAAGAGAAATAAATACGACGGAAAAAAATCTATATGAATTCAGGAAACATAGGCACTAGAAAATTCTCCTAATTATAAAATTCTTTGCTGAGACGTGTTATTTATCTACAGATCATTTATAGTTTTAAAAATAATATGAATACTAAGGTTCGACAGTTACTGGCGTTATTGTGCGTCCAGTCCTTACCCTATGCTTCACCGCCTTAGACTATTCTTACCAAAAGTGACGTGCTGAGACTCCAATAAGTGCCAAAATAAATATCTGCACATCATTTCTAACGTACACTTCCACGTGCGCAATCAAAGCTTGCACGAGAACCTCAATATTGAAACTATTGATAAGTTTCTCTAAAAAAATTCAATAGAAATTTCTAAAAAAATTACTACTTGCAAACATCTCGCGAATTTTAACTTGTTTCAGTACAAAATTTCTGCAAGAAGACAAAGAACTACATCCTTAAGATTTATACTTCCTGAGAGATTTAAATTTTCCAACATAAACTCACACATTTTTTGTTTGTATTTTGTATATCCATTTTTATCTCTACTATGATTCTAAACTCATATTCCAATCCATTAGGATTCTAGTTTTATCTTTCAAGCCTGGTAGAAAATATTCTCCTCTCTTCCTCATTTGTTAAATTTTCTCTTTTGAGTATCTCACGCGATATATTTTTACGTGAAGTGTCTTTAGGGCAACATTTTTAATTGAGCCAGGAACATTATGAATTTCGGAATATCTCTGCATAACTTTACCGATACGATACCGTTTTGAATAGCGTGAACAGCGATAATTCTTCTCTTGAGAGATTTTTGGCTTCAGTATGTCTCATGGAAAAATAAGAGCATCATTCGAGCACTTTTCTGACTTCGGCCGAGGCAGAATTGTCGCATACAGAGATTGAAGTTATCCTTTCGGGATATCGGTGATCGTATCGGATACAGCCAAACAATAGTCATGCGAATATGGAATCGGTAAATGCAGCGGGGAATGACTGACGGGCAGGAGCAATTGCAACCACCTCATTGGACCGCTCCACGGGCAGTAGGCATATTGTGCACATGGCATTGATGGAGCGCAGTGCTATATCTACAACCAGATCACGGCGAATGCAGTCTGTAACTCAATAATCGGTCAGTCCTATCCGCTAAGCGTCAATGCTTCACTTTCCTTCAACTTTAAACCACAGGCTTTTGGGTTTGTAGGGATGCACTGAACGGCAGAGATGGACATCAGTGACATGACGTGCTTTCGAACGAATCACGCTTGTGCCTACGGTACCACATTGGGCGGATTAGAGTTTAGACACAGCGTAGAGAGAGGCTGCTTGACTGTTTTATACATCGTTATACTGGTTCTTTACTCGGTGTTATGATGTCGGGTAATAATGCAATTCACTCCTGCACTCCCCTAATCATCGTTCACTTAACAACCAACGCTATATCTCTGACGTTTCGCAGCCTGTTTTCCTTCCTTACCTTCAGGGTTTGCCTGTGGCCACATTTCATCAGGACAATGCGCAATTAAATGTCTCACGCAACATTCAAGCTTTCTTTTTAGCCCATCACATTGTATTGTTACTTTGGCCTGTCCGCTCTCCAAATCTATCGCCCATCGAACATGTCTGGCAAATAACTGAAAAGCCCCTAGTCCAGCATGCTGCACCTTCGGGTACACCAGATGAATTTTGGCTACGTGTGGAGTTTTCCCCCAACAACACATCCAAAACCTCTCTCATTAAGAGCCGCGAAGTAGAACAACGGTTTTAGACAAACGTGGAGGGAACACTCATTACTGATTTTCTCGTCTTCCTCATCTCAAAGGAGGCTGTGTTTTAAATCAGTTAACACTGATAGTATGTGTAATCTCTGAAATGCATTTGACTTTGATATATCATGTTCTTCTTCGTGTTGTATATTCTGGATGGTCAGCATTTTGTCCTGAAATTTCAACAAGAATTGTAACTAAATTAGGTCCAGAGTTTAATACAGACAACAGAAGCTGATTTATAGGGTCACGAAATCTCAACTGCGAGAGGACATCAAATCAATAATTAATTTTAAAACACAATAAAAAATACTCTTTCTATGAGCGGCACTAAAAGGTTCATGTAAGGTGGGTTCCCTACCTCATAACTCCAACACTGACAGGGAATATCTAAGATTTCGGAAAACATTCGACGAGAATGCAAATATACGCCAGCAACAATGATGGCATATGTTGAAAACAAAATGGTTACACCTGCCACAAAATTTCCAAAATTTAGCATGTCAGTCTGTATAGCCTAAATACAAATTGGCCACATTTCCTTATATTTGGAATTATTGTATTTCATGACATAGTGATTCCCCTCAGGTAAATTTTAAAATCGTTGTTTCCAACGAGGTCAATATTGACCGCCTGGAAGTCGATTAAATATTAAAGAGGATCAGTGATGGACAAGGGTCGATTGGGAAATCGATAGCCCAATATGCGCCGGCAAGTAATCGGTACAATCATAAAACTGCCGAACTGCATTATATCTGACCTTCATACAGAGTGCGGCAGCGTTCATAGTAGGGTATTAAAACACACCATAAGGCAGTAACTATAATTTATTTATTACCTCTTATGTCAATTAATAGTTAAAGGTATGCCATTTACTAATGGGAGCTTAGGCCGCAGCCCGGTCCACCTTGCAAAACAAAGTTTGCCCTATGACCCTATACGGGCTACTCCAGTACAAAAACCATAAACAAGGGCAACCAGCCGCTCATCCATGTCCCAACTAGCCTACAAATAAAATTATGCAGCAGAAAATTAAAACTAAGCACCGAGAAACCAGGCCCCGAATTAGGCCATTTACTAATGTGTAAGTCATTGTCCATTGCGTAGATTACTTTTTGAATATGATGCTTGTCAAATGATGCCCCCTCTGCACAACGCATTCATCTAGGCAGCATTGGCAGCTTGCCATAACTCGGCGTAACGTATTCCCTGTGACATTGCCGACGGCACTTCTGATGCGATCGTTCAACTCAGGAATGGTGGCACAAACGTGTTCGGAAAACTTCTTGCTTCAGGTGGCCCCAAAGGAAAAAGTCTACACTTGAAAGATCAGGTGAGCGAGGAGGCCAGGAAATGCATCAAAACGGGAAATTACTCTACTTGGAAATGCCTGTCGCAATGGCCCGTCCATCTGGAACTTTCCCATGACGTCCCAAGTTGAAATTTTGCCGAAATAGACCCTGGGTAGCAATAACAGAGTAGATATTTTTGAAATAACTTTCAACAGCAAAAGCACGATGCTGTGCCCTCCACCGATCCATATCACTGTCACACTCGAAATGGCAGCTCATTAGTACACGAATGCGGCACGAGCTGGCGCGCATTCATGCACTATGTCATTGTACTGCGCAAGTCAAATTACGCTATAAACCTGCTGCACCCAGTATTATGATGCAAGAAGTGTTGATTACACTGAAAGAGGATGTTCAAGCATAAGCCTTATTCAGAACACATAAGTACGCTAAGTTTTGATATTCAAACGTCATTTGAGAGAAACATTCCAAAGCCGCCCAGACGGTATAGTGGTTAGGGAAGCCTATTGAGGTTCCGAAAGACCCAAGTTCCAATCTCAGAGAAGGCGTAGTTGTAACTATTTGTCTCTTTATAGGAGTCATTAGTGTACGAGTTAAATTACTGTTTATTCGTTAGTACTTTCAGGTGTCCAGTGTGCCATACTTCTTTTTAAAAATCCCTGCTTTGAATTAGACCTGTCAAATTATATTTTGTAACTATATTTGCTGTTTAGTTATTAACTTGCATCAAATGTAAATTGAATAAACAATATTTTAAAAATATTTCAGTTTAATATTAGGATAGTGTCTTAAAACAGACACTCTTTATTTAAAGTGAAAAAATAAAATAAAAGTAATTAATGTTAGGCGTTTTTTTATTTTTTATAATATGAAAAATAAAATGCATCAATACAATTCAAGATATATTATTAATTCCCTTTATTTTTTTTTTTACTTAAAAAAAATGATGTCCTCTTTAAAACGCTTCACCTAATATACTTTTTACTTTTCAAAATTTACTTTCATTTAATGTTTATTTCATTTAATGTTATAAACAAATCCTACCATATTGCATTCACAAACTACATGCAATTAGTCCCTTTAGTGCAACATCTGTTCCTGAACCTTAATAGCCATGTTCATTTATATATGTGTCAAAACCTTGTTGTCTTTCACAACACACAAGATTCACTTAAACTTGTTCTAACGCGGTTTCTTAGAGTCGATTTTATAGAATTCATTGGTAAAAGTATATGCCCATAAGCGTATGAAAACACCAACATTGCAAGAAATGCTATTGCAAATTTTTCACAGCCGAAACTCTTTCCCACATTGGCGTG